AATACTAATAAAGTTTATAACGTCAACATCGGCTGTGGATATTGCATCAAGATAATTAGCATAATTTCTTGTTACAGGGCATCTAAACTCGTTACTCGTGTTTCGCCAGCTTAAGAGAGCTTTTACCACTCATGAAACTAATTATAGTTGTAGTGACTGTTTTTATTCTATTAGTGAAGACCTAAGAACAATCAATTGACCGAATTTATCCTAAAAAAATCATTAAGTGACACCTTTGAACTATTTAATGACACGTGCATTTCTCTAAGAAAACGGCACCTGAAACCCTGTCTCCTTTACTTTGAAAAAGTGTAATCCAAAACATTTTATTTTTTTTAATGAAAAATTGAATATAGAAAAATTTTGACTATGAAATAACGCTGTGCTTTTAGCAAAATTAAAGACAATATTAAAGTCTTGGACGGCAAATAGAATTGTTCGGTCAAAAAGCTCGTTATCTCAACTAGCCAAGGAAAGTTTCGCCTTGCTCATATATAAACAGCCAAAATCTTGTAAAATAGATATATGATCTTATTTTGATTACCTTAAAACAATCTTGTTTGTTAAGGTTTATATTTCATAGTTTAAAGAGTTGAGAGAGAGAGAGAGTTGTAAGTAAAAAATATTATTAAAAAAAGTAGCCTTCACGTATCTCCGAGAAGCAGCTCCGTCTTTACCCATATTCAGCCTAGGCAACCGTTGCGGGGCCAGGACGTTTGAAGGGTAAAAAATAACTGCATCTGTCCAAATATACATGTAGAATAGTTTAAGATCATCTGTACATTTTTGTCCAAAATCTTCTGTATTTTTTTTTTTAGTCCAACAACATTTGTCCAATATCATCTGGGAATTCAATGACTCATAACAACATCTTTAGGAAGATGTAACTACATTATATTATAATTTTCCTTTAAGTCCAAAAACATCTGGACGAATTTCCTCCAGGTCTAATTACAATTGAAAAAAATCTTATATGTAACTACATCTAGTTAAAATATTTAATTTTATACTTATTATTTTTTATATTTATTATTTTTTTATTTATACTTATTATTTTTTTACAGATGTAACTGCATCTGGAAAAAACTATATATGTAATTACATTTAATGAAAATAATGCATTATAATTTAATAATTTCACAAAATCCAGAAGTTATTTTTAACATAACTAAAAAGATGTTGCTACATCTGTGAAATCTCCAGATGAAGATGACAGATGTTGTTATACTTAGATAATTGAAAAGATGTAACGGCATCTGTAGTAATCATATACTTTTTATACATATGTTGTTAGACATCAAAGAAATTTCAGATGTTTTTAAACAGATGCTGTTGTACCTCAGTGTATTTACAAATGGTGTTGGACAGATGTTTTTAAACATAGCAAAAACTGATATTGTTACCCTGACCCGGCCAGCCAGCTAAAAATATATTTTTTCTTAAATTTAAAAAAAAAAAAATTTTAATTAAAAAAAAATTCATAGTTTACTCTATCTATTTTTTAATCTAGAACTTATTAAAAAAAAATCTGATGCGTTATTACAAGAGGTGGTAAATGCAACTTAGCAAAAAATTAGCTCATAACATCAAAGTATTTTTTTACCTATAAACGTCAAACTAATGGCCTGATTAAAAGACTTTATTATATATTTATTTTTCTATTCATTTTTTTTTTGTGCCAACTATAAGTAATTTTCTTTTTGTTAGTATATAAAAATTTAGAATATTCTAATACTCGTGTTCAAATTTAAGATTAGATTTTTTAACTTTTCAATGAGTTTTGATTTTCTAGATTTATTTTTAGAAATTAGATTGTTGTATAAATAAGGACCACAATATGAATTAGTGAATTAGAAGAGAATTGTTTTTTTGAAAGGTGAAATGAAGTTTCCTGTTGCTCTAGTGTTATATTCATTAGCATTATTTTTAACAACCAGTCTTATGATGAACCAAATTATCTATACGAATAGTGAGAAAATTTATGTTAATAATATTTATAGGTAAAACTAGTTTTTTGAATATTTACTTTTTAAAATTCTTGCAATTTTAAACAAGTAACATTCAAGATTTTTCATCAGTGTAGTGTGTTTGTAAAATAAAAACATTAAATTAGATTTTTATTTGAGCTTTTTTTTTTTTTTTTTTTAAACATTTTATGGTTTTAAAAAATTAATATTTTATAAATATTATTATATTTAGGTGTACCCAATATCTTATCTTTTTTATAAAAATTTTTAATTTATTTTCTTTTTGTTTTTTACAAAGTATGTTGGAAAATACAGGATAATCGTTGCAAAAATGTATTTATTAGATGCTGCACTGATTGGAGTCGGTTATACCGTTTTAGTAATTCAAGTTGTTGGATTGTGCTTTGTAGTTAAAGCGAAACGAAAAATTAACAACATTCAATATTTAATTTTGTTTGGAATTTGTTTTGTAGAAATAAAAGCTACTGCTTTTATTTCGTCGCAAATTGTATTTAATTCGAAAAATTTAAATAATGTAGGGCATTATATTGACATATACATTAACAGCGGGTTAGTGTTAGAATACTACAGTATTATCTTTATTATAACTGCAAACCGTTTTTCTGAAATGTATTTAAACTTGCGATACAATCAAGTTTGGAAATACAATTGCTTAAAAGCACTCATGGTTATTATTTCTGTTTTTTCAACTATTTTAAGTGCATGTTTTATGATAGCTGGTACACCCAACGCAGTAATTGAATTTTTTTGCTACAAATACTTTTTTCCGTTTTTCAATGGATTTTTATTAGGGTGCATCTTCTGTACTTACACGTATATTTTTTATAAATATTACAAAGTTAACAAAATTAACAACTTGACATTTGGAAAGTTTGCGTCATCAAATCAAACGCTTTCCTTAAATTGTTCAAAGAAACGCAAAAGAGCTTATCGAGGGTATTTATTGTTGAGTCTATTTATAACTACTTTTGTAATATTTATTGCGATTCCAGACACAATTAAGTGCTATCTTTACAGCATTAAATATCAGAGTGAGTTATATTTGCAGTTTGTGTTTATTTCTTACTGTTTTGGATTTTTAACTGACGTTGTTATATACATATTTCTATCGCCGCCAATACGGAAAGAGTTTAAAGAGTTTTTTCAGTTTTTATTTATTAGACAAAAAAATAAAAAAGTAACATTTCCAGACATATCTACCCTCACATAATTCCTTATCCGCGCTATTTTTACTAACTAAATCCAAAACATGATGGATTTAAAAATAATTTTTTAAAACCTGAGATTTTTCTAATTTGTTTCAAAAAAATGTCAAATTATTTTGAATATTTTATAAGTGAGAATATTTTTTATTACCGATTTATTTCGTTGCGAATCGCACAGTACATAATAGATCAAAGTTAAGCAAATCTATAATAAACAGTTTTTAGAACTTCAAAATTTTTTTTAATTACGAAAGTTTTTTAAGCATCATACATTGCAGTTATATATATATATATATATATATATATATATATATATATATATATATATATATATATATATATATATATATATATATATATATATATATATATATAAAACGAAATATATATATATATATATATATATATATAAAATATATATATATATATATATATAATACGAAAAAAAGTTAATGAATGAAATATATAAAAGAATGAAAAAAAAAAACCCATTTAAAAAGCGGAACCTCAATCGGCAAATCAAGATTTTTATTTGTTTTTTCATACATTTTTTTAGTTTTCTTTCATACATTTCTTAGTATTATTTATTTATTTTTCTTCAACTTTTTAGCGTATATAGTTTTACTTTTTTTTTTAGTGGTATATAATTTTTTTATACAATTATATATTATTTGTTTTTATTTTCATTTTAGCTATTTATTATATATGTTTAATTCTACCGTGTTATAATTATTTTTTTTAATTTTAAGTTTTTTTTTTTGTTGTTGTTTGTTTTATTTATTTTGCATAGCTTTTGTTTTGTTTCGTGATGTTTGTTGTAACTTGTTTTGTTTTGATTTCCTCAGTGTTTTTCTGTTTATATTTTATTTATTTGGTCATAATATTTGCAATATATTTTGATTATTATATTTTAACAACTCTGATTATATTAATATATTTACTAAATCTTGATAATTTTTTTAGCAGTAGTCGTTTTTATGTCATCGTTAGTTGTTACGTTTTGTCAGTTTATTACTGTTTGTACTGTAGCTTTGTATATAAAAATGATTGCTGTATGAAAAGTAATACCGATTTATTTAAATTATTACAATTACTTTATTATTATTGTTATTATCATTATTGCTACTATTAATATTATCATTACTATAATTAATTGTATATAGAATTTTTTTTTAGGTATTTACTTGAGATTAGTATTTCAATACTATTTGTAAATAGCCTTGAAAATTTATTTTCAGAATATATAATTGATTAAAGAAAAAAAAAAAAGGTGGTACTAAAGCTATTATTAAAATGTTAAATATAAAAATTTTTAGACAATTCTGGACACTGTGCGCTGTAATGACGTTGATATGGACCTCAACATTCTACACTAATGTCAAATATTGTTTATAATATAAACACAAATTTTTTGCTAATTTGTTTCCGGTGTTGTAGTTTAAAAACACAACTAAAAAAGTATTACCAAATATTATAATCAGAGCCGTGGCTAGGCTACCCCATACCCTCAATTGGGAGAGAGGCGAGCAATTTTAGAGGGTTCATTTTGAAATTTAAGGGCCTTTTTGCAAATTTAAAAAGTTTTTTTTTTGGTAGTTATTTATTTTCATTGCATAACTGAGACATAATTTGGCTTTTTGCCTCATTTAAAGACAATTTTTTTTATTTTGGAATTTTAATATCGATGAGTTCAAAAAGAATAATAAAACCCGAACGGTTAAACGACAAAAATGACCAAAATTCAAATTTAATCCAGAGTAAAAAAAAACTAGAAATTTATTTCAGAACAAATACATAACACTATTAATTTAGTATTTTACGAAAATTTAATAATCTTTTTTACAAGTAAAGTGCTGATTTCTAATTCCACACATTTTTTAATTACATGTCTAAGTAGTTATTTATACTCGATCCAAGCTCTCGCGTTCTTTTCGTTCCTTTGTAACAGCCTCAACAAGCGGAGTTAAATAAAATACATCCTAAAGGAAAAAAACAAACAAATATTTATTTAATATTAAGTTTTGTATTCAAAAAAAAAGTACTTTAAAAAAGCTATATCTATTATTTTCACTGTGTGTCTGGATGAAATTGAACCTTTATGAAAACACCCCAAAAAACTTTTCACCTATTTCTTTTACATATATTTTATTCATTATTTTAGAAATTTAATTTATTCTTTAATTTATTGTTAAAGGCCCGAGTTTCAATAACATAGCATTTTAATCCTCTACCTCCATTTCTATTTTTCTATTTTTAGAAGATTAGAAATGGAGGTAGAGGATTATTTGTTGTTTATTTTGGGTAGGAGTATAATTTTTAATGTAATGTTAAAATTGCTTGTAAAAGTAAACTTTATAATAAATTGGTAAAATGAGTAGTAAAAATAAATTTAAATATAAAAAGATTTTTTGCAATAAAATTGCAAAAAAAAAAAAAAAAAAAAAAAAAATTCTGGGTATAGTACGGTCTGTCTAAGTTAACATGTATTTAGTATTTAATTCAAAACAAATCTCCCCCCTCTCTATTTTTTTTTGACAAATGTTTAGTTTTTCTAAAAAAATAAACTATATATTAGTTTTTTTAGAAATGTAACATTTATCTGTTTTTATCAGGTCTATGGAAAGATGCAGAATTTGTAAAATTACTGGAAAGATGTAGAATTTGTAAAATTGCTGGAAAGATATAAAATTTGTAAAATTGCTGGAAAGATGTAAAAATTTGTAAAATTATTTGTCAACAAACATAAAAATCTAATAATTCAAGATTGTTTCTCACACGGATCTGCTCACATTGCTTTCTACAGAGCTTCTACACTTTTATAATGGACGTATAAAGGAGGCTATGAGGGATCAGCAAGGTACCTTTGGAAAGTTATTTTTTCAGGAATTATTTACATTTCAAGACTCGAATGAGAAAAAAATAATCTGTTCCTTTATCTTCTGTTCCAATATCTTGGAGTTTGTGGAAAAACTAGCTAATCCTAGATAATCATAAAAATTTTGGTCATTATTTGTTTTTTGAGATTTCATATTCATATTTTAAACTAATTGATGAATATTTATATTATATATAAAATTGTAGAGAACAGCCTTTCTTAGAGATGGCTTCAAAGTTTGATATCTGAAGCTAACTCTTACACTATGATCCAGATAATTTAACATTCATTAGACCTTCTAGCAGAGTAACCAGGAAAAGGGGCATTGTGTTTATTTTTATTAAGTGCTCAATAAAAATTTATTTAGGAAATCATTACAAAGATACTGGAAGGAGGAAGATTCAGATCATTGCATCAGCTCTAAAAATTCTAGAAACATATCATTACTTCAAAATATTCATAGAGTAGGCTCAAATCAATCTTCTATTGTTTAAATTTACCGGTGACCTAAAACTCTAAAATATTGTGTCTGGAATAATGTCATGTGCATCAAAATATCTATGCTTATACTGTGGGTCTCCAAATAGCAAAGGAAATAAAGCCTGGCAGACAGATGCTACACTCAGAACATTAAGGAATATAAAATACCACAAAGAGGATTGGCTAACCTCCGGAGGTAAAAAAATCAAAGGAAAAGAGTATACTAACTGTGTGGCAACTCTTGTTGTTTCATGAGGATGATCCTGATGACAGCTTAGTGATCCTTAAGAGTCCACCACCAGCTCTTCATCTAAAGTTGTCTCTAAATTGTGTCCATAAAGAGCTACAAAACATTTGGCCAGGACTTCAGGATTGGTTAGCAGGACATTCTACTCTCTTCCAACCATACTATGGTGACACACTTGAAAGTAAAGAGTGTTTTAAGACTACTTGATAGTTTGGAGAAAGTACTTCCTATGGAGCTGTCTGGTTTTTTGAATTACATGCATGACTTTTTAAAGGTCATTGACTCTACATTTGGTGTGTCTGTAGATCCTGATTATAAGAATGTTTTTGAAAATTTAAAGATGTCTTTTAAGTCTTAACAGAAAAAATTTGGAGTGTCTGAAACCCCTAAACTTCATGTAATACTTACACATATTGAGCAGTTTATCGACATTATAGGAAGGAGACTTGGTCAATGTTCAGAACAGGAGTTAGAAAACTCACATTCAGCATCCTTGGTGGTTTGGGAGCAATACCTGATAAAAGACATTTCTTCACCTAAATATACGGAGAACTACTCTAAAGCTGTCCTAAACTTTAATACTAATAATATTTAGTTACATAGTATGCAATAATACATATGTATTTTCAATTTATATATCTATTTAAGTTGTACTTAACTGTAAACCATACTTTGAATTACTTTAAAAAAAGATTTTATATCTTCTTTTATTTTTGCAGGTTTTTAAGGGCTGTTTCTCAAAATTTTCACAACAAATCTTTTTTATTTCTATGATTTTTATAACTATTATATATATGTATTTTTTGGGTGTTTTTGTAGAGGTTCAGTTTTACCCAGGTACACATGTTTAAGTAATAGAATATTTTTGCAAAAATATATTAGTTTATCTTAAAAATTAGGTATTTAACATTTTTTCTTCAACTTTAAATTTATTTAACATCAACTATGAGTTAATAAGAAATAGTACTTGGAACAATTTATAAAAAAAGAAAATTATTTAAACATTTTATAATAATTAATACAAAAAAAAATCTTAAATTAACTAAAATTAAAAATATAATATATAAAAAAAAGAAAATTATTAAAAAATCTTTTTTTTCTAGAACCAAAATAATTACAATGTTTAAATTTTTAGCTTTATTTAGTTGTTACAAGTTTTTTCAGAAATCTAAAAGATGTGATATGTATACATAAGGACATAATAATATTTATACATAAAGACATAGTGATATGTATACATAAGGACATAATAATATGTATACATAAAGACAGTGATATGTATGCATAAAAAAATAGTGATATGTATTTTAGAATTCTGAAATGCTTAAATTGAGACAGATTATTCAGCGAATAAAATTTTGGTAATTAAAATTGACTGTGAATTCATTTTTAATTTAAATTCACAGTATAATTTGACTCCAAATAGTACATATTTAATATATAGTATATATTTATGTAGTAATACTTAATACCAATATAATTTGGTATATAATATAATAGTATATAATAGTAATATTTAATACCAATATAATTTGATAATTCAAACTGACTTTAATTTTGATAATATATTAATTTCATTATTTTATTATCCGTAATTTTGTGAAGTCAAACAAAGAAAATTTATTATTTTTTTGCTCAGTATTTTAAAACAAATAATTCCACACTAATAAACTAAATAAAACAAAACTATAAACATTTTATAAAAACAATCCTCCTTTTTGTAAGAACAGTCAATATTTGAAAAAGATATAAATGTATTAAAAAAAAACAAAAAACCTCCTCAGGCTTAGTCCATTGATCTTTTGGTAATATCTGATGCTTCAAACTGAGATCCATAGCTCTCTTTATTCTAAAAGCACGTAAATTGTACTCCTCCTCTGATAACCTTTGAACTGCATTTTTTACATCAGGATCTTCTTCTTTTAGAAGATCATCGATTCTTAATCCTTAAAAAAAATTATATAAAAAATCATCCAGAAGTCTGGGACTATTTAAAAAAAATTTAACCAAAATTTCAATCAGAGATTAAAAAATTGCCGAGCATACTATATCAAAATGTATATATACATGTTGCAAATACTGTATATAATATAGTTTATGATACAATAATGGTATAAAATATAATAATTGAGCAAATGATTGAAAAAACACATAAACATTCTAAGCAAGAGACTTAAAGAGACAAGCAAGATCTTTAAATTTAAGTGCAAAGATCTTTTATAAACATTTTACAATCCAAAAGTCTAAACTAACAGAAAATAAAACTGCCACTATTCTTCAATATCACATTAGGAATTTAAATTTGAACCCTAAAATAGGAAAATAAATGTTTGTTTATTTGTGGTAAAAGTTACTTTCCAGAAAGAATACATTTAAATTGATCAACTTTGGTAGATCAACTTTTATTCTATTTTCAGCAGAAAGGAAAATAACATTCAGATAGGTAGCTATTAATAGTTTTGTACAGTTGTAGTTGAGTACAAAAAATTGTTCACTGTGACAAAGATCTAATCTGAACCACAAGTTGAAGAAGAGACTAAGTGAGAAAGAAATTCTAGTCATAGAAGCAGAAGTGATTATAATTTCTGACAAAAAACTAATCTGTTTTTTAGGGATGTTCAGAGAAAAGCGCTCATTAGAATTAAGAGAGCAATAGGATAAAATTTTTTTTGCAAACATCTCAAAATTGGTCAGATCTTATTACACCTTGGAGGTAATAGGATGTGACAAATTTTGAGATATTTGCATAACAAACAAAAATTATGTTAATTAAACTTCTCCATATGTATCTTAAAAGTTTCTGAGCAAAAAACAAGACATGGCAAGTAGCAAATGAAAGTAAGTAACCGCCAATAAAAGATATAGTAATAAAGAGAGGAAAATACAAAAACAATTTAGAATAGAACAGAATTAGAAAAGAATTAGAAAGAGTGAGAAACAATAACAACAAAGAATAATGTTTAAATGTTTCCTCTCTGAGAGCTACCAGAGCTTGGGAACCCTTGGTACCATACAGTCTCAGAATCATAAAAGCATTACTTTATTTGGTAGTAATTAATTTAACAAAACAGGAGCCCTTGGTGTTTGAGAAAAAAATATATATATAAAAGTCATCATCAATATTTTTATATGTAAACTCCCATATGTATTTTGACAGCATGGTGTCTTTTAAATACTTTTTATTTTCAAAGGATTGTTTATCAGGTACATTCTTAGAGAAAACACATTTATATATAATATTTTTTGATAAACATTTTCCACACAACTTTCTATTGTTTTTTCATATAGGACTTCTTTTTTGTTTATTGCTAAACAAAAGTAATTATTAGCATTATTGCTAAACAAAAGTAACTAAATTATATAGTATACATGTTACTGTTACTCACAGTACCAGGAACTAGCTAAATGCTAATATTTATTAATATAATATAATTTAAATTGCAACTCTGAGTTTCATGTGTTACCACAATCTTTAGGCATGTAATAAAATTTAATTTTGCCACGATATATTTAATGGACGTTATGGTTTATATTTATACTTTAGATCGTTACGGGATGGAAAATGTGATAAACCTCAAAAATAATATATTATTTAGTGATTTTTAATTAATGAAATAAAAAAAGACAATAATAATTGAAGCATTTGTACAATTTAATATTTGTAAGATCTTATCTTGCCTGGGCAATTTTAATCCTATTTTAAGCTTTGAATAAATTGCTCAAATTGTCAGTGTAAAAGGTGAAAACTACTTTAAATTGATTTCTGTTGATTTTAATAGATATTTCTTTAAAAAAAGCGAAAAGTTCCAATTAAGGAATCAAAGTATTTCTATTTAGGAAACTGGTTGCCTTGAACAAAATGGCACCTTGCCAAAACTAAATTTATCTTTGATAACAGTGCAACCAATTATATCTAAGTATGGTTAAAATTATAGTAGGGTTGTCTGTTTGTGTTAATCAAATCATAAATGTTTTCATTGTTAAACCATCTTTGGTTAAAAAATATTTATCCTTAGGTGTGCAAATCTGGTGCAAATAAAACTCTTCCTAACTAAAGTTTGTATAAATTTAGAAGGTTTTCATAGCCCCAGCTATCAACCCCTGCTAAATCTTATAATTTTCAAGCCTTCCCGGGAAGTGTATACGCAAGCCTTGTTCATCTATATTTACAGTAACTATATTTTTTATAATAAGCGTTCTGTAAAAATGAGTGGCAAAAAGAGATATAATAAACAACAGAGAATAAAACAGAAATACTCAAATAAAGGAAACAAATACTTTACGAAATAGGAAATCTAAATAAAATAAACTAAAAAAATTTGAATATTAAAAAAGGAAAATTTTGTCAAAAAAATAATATACCTAAATATTTTACTGCTTTTTGTTTTCTTTTTTTTTAGGGCATAAGTAATTTTCCACTACCGAAATTGATACAAGTTGAGGAAAAAAGCAGATAAGAATACAACGAGAATGAAAATATTTTTTGATATACAATTTATTTGTGACTTTTACCAGTCAGTATATTAAGAAAACACTTTATTATTTGTGCTAGAAATATGGAAAATTTTAAAATTAGTTTTTCAAATGTTTTTACTAAGCTTTGCTATTTTTGACAATTCACAGTGTTTTTGACAACACAAAGCAAAAAAACAAAAAATAATTGCTATTTATTGATTTATTTTTTTATTTATTACCAAGTTATGACAAAAAGTCTTCTCTTTTCGATTGCTTAGAACAAGCAGCTGATCTTGAATCCAATCTCACTTCAGTAATAGATTGGGGTTCACAGTGGCTTGTGAATTTCAACTCTAAAAAAACCCAGTTGCTTACTGCAAACAACTACCGTAATATGGTCAACATTCCTATATTAATGAATGGCAATCCTCTTACTGAGTCCTCCTCTTTACGTCTTCTTGGATTATCGCTTACTACTGACCTTTCATGGAAACTATATATACAATCGATTGCTAAATTAGCTTCTGCTAAGGTTGCTTCTCTTTATCGTGCTCGCCATTTCCTTACTTCTGATTCCATTCTTTACCTCTACAAATCTCTTATTCGTCCCTGTATGGAATACTGTTGTCATATTTGGGCTGGTTCTTCTAACGATTCACTTTCTCTTCTTGATAAGGTTTAAAACGCATTGTAAATGTTGTTGGACCTGGACTATCTGCTAAGCTTGAACCTCTTTCCCATCATCGTAAAGTTGCATCTCTTTCTCTTTTCTACAAATACTATCATGGTCACTGCTCAAAGGAGTTATCATCTCTAGTTCCATCAACTAAAATTCATTCTCGTTTTACCCGTCATTCAGCTAAGTCTCATTCGTTTACTGTATCTGTCCCTGCATGCTCTAAAAACTTTTAATCATCTAGTTTTTTTCCCCGCACTTCAATCCTTTGGAACTCTCTCCCATCTTCATGTTTCCCTGACTCATACAACCTTCAACTTTTCAAGTCTTCTGTCAACTGTTTCCTTGCTCTATAACTCTGTTCTTTTTTTTACTAGTAACTCCTAACTTAATAGTGGTTGCTTGCAGCCTTGTTGGGAGTGAATGCAAATAAAAAAAAAAAGAAAAAGTTTTTTATGTGAAAAAAAAAAAATCATTAATACTAATATTCAAATATAAAATATTTGGTAGCTTTCACTACTCCCCATTGAAATAGTTTGCATTTTAGTTGGATTCTCTTAATTGCACATTTAAACCAAATAGCTTATTTCCTGATGAACTATTTTTATTGACGATGTCTAAAAACTTGCGGGTTTGCTAAAAAAGTTTAGTAAATTAAGAATGCACAAACATAGTTTTTTTACTGTATTTAAAAAAAAACTTTAGGAGCCTATTTAAAACTTTTTTTAAAGTATTTAGTACATTTTTTCAAACAAAGTTACCTTTATATTCATTATCTCTAGTAATTTGTATTAACATTGAAAATTAGGCAATATAAAGGAAACAATTTCAAACAAGCATTATATGGTAAATACATTTATAAATGATAATAATTTTTTTAAATTATTTGTTTTTTTCCTTAACTTGTATAAAATTTGGTAGCTAAAAATAACAAGAACTCTAAAAAAAATATACAAAAGTTGTATCAAAATTTTATTAAAAATTTCTTTTTTTTAATTTTCTTTTTTTTAATAATTAAATTTTTCTAGTTTATTTAACTAAAATTTGATATTTTGTATAAACTTTGTTTCCTTTTTTGAGTATTGTTTATTTTTTCAGTGTCTAAAAAAACTGATTTAAAACTGAACGAACAAAATGTGTGACCGCACACACTTACTAGGAAGACTTGATTTTGTAAAAAGCTCCATAGTAAAAAGATTCATTCTTAACAAGGCTGCAAGCAACCACTATTTAAGTTAAGAGAAAAACAAGAATATCATTAAAGAGCAAGAAAATGGTTGACAGAAGAAGAAAAAAATAGAAAATTGTTGGCAAAATATTAATATGGGGGGGGGGGGGCATGTTTTATCTCATTAATGCATGAGTATGGAAACTAGATGAATAAAAGAGTACGAAGGGATAGATACAGCAAAAGGTTGCAACTTTGCCGAACCAGACAAACAAGAATGAGTTTTGGTTGAGGAAATAGAGACGATTGCCTGTTTGAGCAGCAACCATAATAATGTTTGTTGAAAAGAGAAAGTGACGCAACCTTATGATGATGGACAGCATCTTGGCAGAACAGGGCCAACTACATTTACAATATATATTAGACAATATCTATAATAGAAAAGATGTTATTGGAAGAAAAAGCCCAAATATGACAACACTATTCTCCTAACAGAGAGGAATAAGAAATTTGTATAGGTAGAGAACAGAATTGGGAGTAAGGAAATGGTGAGCATGATAAAAAAGAGGCAAACTTAGTAAATGTTAATTATGCAATGGATTGTATATATGGTTTCCATAAGAAGTAACCAGCGAATGATAATCTGA